CAAACTATAAAATGAATTCACAACAATTAAAATTTGATCGTAAATCCATATGATATTTTTAAAGGAAAATTAAAAACAGAAACGCATGGTAATTTAATAAAAACAGATAAAATAAAGCCTTCTAACTGTTAAAACTTATATAACACATTTTATAGTTTTAAAAAAAGGTTCACAGTGAATTTCTTTAATGGCAAAATAATACTTTATGTAATTTTTAATTACTCCCATTTGTATGGTTTTCAACTCCTGGGGCATCATTTTATTCTCCAAAAACTACAAATTCTACTATACATATGGATTTTAATATAACCCCTTATATTAGTAGTTTAATATAAGAACTTTTCAAATAAATTCTTGATACTTTACTGCTTAATGAAAAATATAAACATTAATTTCATCGTGTCTGAAAACACAGATGTCTTCACTGCCAAAGTTACTTCTAATATCAAAATTGCAAACAGAATATAATAATCACCCCCTTTCAATCAGCTTTGACAAAAAACATGTATATTCAAAATTAATGAACTCTACAACTCTATGAACTGATCAACTTGCTATCCTTGCTCCTTTTCTCAATATTATTACATGAAAGTCCATAGCTAACTTAGTCTGGGTTAAAGTGGTTATGTAAGAGCTGTATTGCTTAACAGAACAACAAAACACCCTCTGGAGTTTCAGTTGAGTGTCAAAAGATTCCAGAAAGGCAAAAATTCCATGTCCTCGAGCTGATCACTTTCAAGTGAACTGCAGAATCACCAAAAAGCTTGATCCTGGAGTAGGAGAGAGGTTATAAAGCCAAAATCAAGCATAATTTTCCCTCAGCTGAGTGCAGAACCAGCAGAGTACTTGGCCATGACTACATTACTAGAGGAAAGGACAAAGTCACAGAGAAGTCCAACTTTTCCTAAGGCCTTGAAAGAGAGTTTAAACACCTGCTGTGGTGGATACCACATGTAAGACAGTATAACAGATAGGTGGCACTGTTCCTTCTTCGAGACTCAGAAATGTGCCTCTACTGTTTCTGCAACAGCTCAAAGATAGTCTTGGTGCATTAAGTATAAGAGATATTGATATAGATATGTAACAAGACAGTAAAAAGCTACATGTTTTCTGAAATGTGTAGAATATGCATGTAGCCTTTAGATTTCGGGTCACAAATGAAAAGCACCTTGATAGTTAAGTAATTACATAAAAGCAACCAAACTGTCTTATATAAAATAAAAATATATATAGTTAAAAGGCCTTAGCTTCTAAGCAAAGGACAAACTGATTAGCTAAAACTGTGGTACTGACACGTGAGTACACAGTCAGACAGAAGGACTACCTTAAGAACTATGGAAGTGGATGGCATCAAGGCTCAAGCAAAACTAAGCATGGACAAAAAGCCGAAATGAAACCTAGTACTTTCTAAGCTATTAGCTACTTAAGAATTATTTTTTAATGGAAAAAAGGCCACTTGCAAGCACACCTCTCACAACTGACAGTGTGGATAGCCACTACCGTAGAACAGCTTTTTTTTTCTTTGTGATACCCAATTTCTAAAACTTGCTTGTATTTTATACAGCCAAATAAGTGAAAATATTCTGATTTTCTCTTCAGTCCAGCTGATTGAGAAAGTTAGGTTTCTTTAGTAGTAGTTAAATAAAGCATATTGTCTACTAAAAACACATAATTTGTATGTTTTTAAATAGGTCCAAAGTGGAACAACTCCAATGCCCATTATCAACAGTGATTCTCAAGAGGCCACCCTTGCAGCTGAAGAAGGCTGGAACTAGCAGCATTCAAAGAATGTCAGCAGCAGACCTTCCCTTTGCCAGGAAAGATCACAGTAAACACAGGAGCCAGATGCTGTGTCCACACACCTTGCCAGAGCTCTGAGCAACAGAGCCTTTGGCTTCCTATGTGACAGTGTGACCAGCCACAACTCAGGGTTGGGCAAGTCCATGAACACATATCCACCAATCATTTCTATATTTATAGAAAGCCAGAACATGTGTAGATAATCACACAATTGGTTATTTATATAGTGCCAGATTTTAGGAATACAGGAATTTGTTAATTAGCACAAGGACTAATCATTAAAATTCAAAAATAGGTAAATAAACAGGAATGCCATTTATTTGTTAACATTTCAGGGAGAAAGTATGCAGCTGCTTTCCTTTTGATGAATACAGGCTTCTGCAGGAAAAAAAATATATGAAGGGAAAGTATCTGTAATTTTTGAAACCCTATTGAGTAAGATCCAGGATATCACACATAGTCTTTCTATTAAAAATAATCATAGTGATTCGCCCTTCAGTTGGAAAAAAAATTAAAAAGTTTAAACTGGCATGTGCTTAGCATTTGAATCATACTGTTTGACATTCCACTGTTTGGGTGCTTTTCAAAGAGCCAAAGCTGATTTTCATCGGATAGGAGTTAAAAAGCACACACACGTCACTCAGTACCAAATTGTTTTAGCTACAGGGCATGGCAAAGCATGAAATAACTGCTTTAGAGCACTTCCTCATGTGGGTGTGTTAGATAACTGTCTGCTCCAACATTAAAATGATACACACTGTGACCTGACCAAGGCTTCAGGACTTAAACAGGAAGATGAGCCCACTATAACCAGCAAGGCTAGTTAATGAATTTTTCTGGCACTCTATAGCCCTCCCGTGACGCAAGCCTTTCAGCTTTCCAAATCCCTGTGTAGCAGAGGGCACTGGCTTTAAGTTTACTTATGCACATTTTACAATGTCCTGCAGTATTTAGATTGTGACAGTTCCTCCCAGAAAAGGGCAAGATTATTTTTTCATACTAAAAATATTTTCAATTTACTGAAGGCCAACCAAGAATTATAATGCAAAAGAAAACACATTCTAAAAATTAAAACCACCACAGAAATGACTAAAATTTTCCTTGCTTTTATCCTTTCTAGGAGGTAAAAAAATTTCCATTCGCTTTTGAGAGTTACTGCATTTGGTGTTTACTGTGGTTAATGTAAAAACACATGTGAAATATTTAAAATTACATCAGCATAACATCTATGATTCTTTGATCCATATAAATATAAACTATATACATATATGCATAATAATATTTCCACAAATACCCATGCACACTAAAATCATTGATCAAAAGATATGTGAAAGAGTTCTTTTGTCTAAAAGAGCATTTTAGAGAATCTTCCAGATATAATACCAAAAATAGCAGGTGCATGAGAGAGACACACTTCTGACCCATTAGTTCTGAAACAAGGTATTGGATCACAGTCTGAAATGGGAAAAATTCTACTCAAAATACACCAACAACTCACAAAGTTAATACACACTTCCTAAAGCCTCCCTCTAAACTTTCCTTGGACCTCTGATGAAAACAACCTCTAAAAAGACCTGAATATGCACTTCAGGTTTTTACTGATCTTGGTCAAGGTTGGCCTTTCCAGCAGAAAAGACAGTGGAGAAAAGTAACTAAATTAGAAGTCTAAGCATAAATTTTTTAAAAGAAGGGGTTAAAAAGACTTTTAGTAGCAAAAGTTCCCTACTCTCCCATAATAATGGATTTTTAATAAACATTTTACTAGGTTTGAACCTTGAGAATGTGTTGAACAGTCTGCTCTAGTGTCCCAGGTGGGTTAAGAATATTGCTTTATGGACTTCTTTGTGTTGTCAGAGAGGCCTAATGGAATTAACAGGGGAAAGTCTGCCACTTACAGTAAATAAATAATGTATTACAAAAAGGTGATTGTTATTATCAAAGATCTCCACAGATCAGCATTCATTTCCTATCACTGCTCATGTATTTTCTGAAAACATTCATGTGTTTCACTGTCTGACTTAATTTTATCAGATGAATACAAGTTTTACTTTCGTACAAATTTAAATAAAAGTCTGTTTAAAAGTATACTTCAAATGGATCTTATTTAACTATCCCTTAGAATTTTGTAAAAGCACTATTCTAGAAAATTCCTTAACAAAGTACGCTGGTTTGAAACATAACTTTTTCCCACGATGAGAAGAAAAAAGAAATAAAAAGAAAAAATACCTCAAATACATATTTGCAATAACAAATACATTTTTATGTCTCAAAAACATTAAGGGAATACTTACAGTTGTTGCACAAAATGGTCTGATACACTCCATAGCTTCCACTTTGTTAAAAAAAAAAAAAAAAAAAAGGCCAGCCCCCACTCCTCCCTCCCCAAGCATAAATAAACAGTTACATACTAAAAGGAAACTGTCCCAGGATAAAAACTCCTTGGTAAGAAAGTTTTGTATTCTACTAACCACAGTAATATCCACATAAATGGAACAAACCATCTGTAAAATAAAAGTTAGAAAATAGCCCCAATTTCTTTCAAAATATAAACTATTTCTACATGAGTAACAGCAAAAATACTTATTTGATTCTTGCCCACCCTCGGGGCTACCCCTCACCTTATTACAATATCATCAAATTAACATGCTGGTATAAACTATGCAACCTGCTTCAAGGATTTAAACTGTAAATATGGACTTTAAACTTCAATGTAAAACAAAGAACAAGAGTCTCACTTTGGTAGTACCCACACTGGCACTACAGCTAAAACTCACTGGCAAATAACTAACAAAATCCAGTTAGCAATAAATAAGGACAACATGATATATAGACAGACAGATGGAACTGCATAAACAGACAAGAAAAGCAAAGAGACAAACATACGGAGGAGTTTGTTTTAAAAGAGTGAAAGATTATGATTTACTTGGTACTTTAGTAAGAAAAATACGTTTGTTTGTAATTATTTTTAAAGTAATAAAACTGAATCACAAGGTCACACCCTTAAATAATTAAGAAAATTAGTAAAGGGTAGGCCTAGTATAGATGTTCCAAATTTTAAGCCAGCATCAGCTCTGTCAAATTTAAATACAGAAATTAAAATTCAAGAAAGCAAGCATAAAAGCACTGTGAACTAAATAAGATGATAAATACAGGGGGACTGAGGAGGCAGGGTTGTTTTTATGAAAGTTGTCTGCCCCTACCTTCTTCCCCAGCGCTGAGTTTCTCTTCTCATAATCGGTGTCTCCCTGGAAGTACAGTGTGAGTGGTAATGACTGCCTGCCTCCCTAATGAGTCCATTTTCCTGCTCTTGATGTTGTGTATATACACACACTGCAACCTACCTTACAAACCACAGAGACGGGAAGAGAGAGAGAGAGCAAGAGAGAGGGAGGGAAAGGGGGGGCAGAGAGAGAGAGAGAAAGACAGAGACAGAGCAAGCAAGCCAGTGAGAGAGAAAAAGGAGAGAGAGAAAGAAAAACAGAAAGAAACAGAGGGAGAAAGGCACAGACAAAGCCCTCCTACCAGACAGCAGACAGCCCTCCTTCCCCTATCCAGCAAAACGCAACTCCTTTAATGCAGCAACAGGTTCAGTATTGCCAGACTAACAGAGTGAAAAAGGTATATTCTCTATAGCATTACTGCTTGCAAATAAACAGTTTAAGAGCAGCTGGCTCCACCTTCTTTATTTATGCTCCATTATGAGGAATGTATTGTTTCAGTTCTGGCACACAGTACGTTGTGTAATTATCATAAATACATTTTTTGCATATTAGCAGGAAATGGGGAATTGCATAGCTTATTTGTGCAATCTTTCAAATTTATTTTTTGAATGTGAGAAAAATGTCAACAAATGTGCTCTGACAAAAGCATAGTAATGATTTTAAAGTCAGAGCAGTCTTAAAGGAGACTGTAAGAAACAGACTCCACACAATAGAAAAACTGATCTCAGACAAAACTGGTAACTGCAAAGAAGAAATCACTGCTCAGTAAATAAACCAAGACCATATACAAAACTGAAAACAGGAACAGAATTAAGTTCAATTAACTTGCTAATAGGCTAGTACCCTAGAAGAAAGCAGACTGGTTTCGTGGTTGAAGCATCCAGCTACACAAACATTACAATGCAATGCAGTTTGTATGAACAGGTGCAATGCATACAGTACATGGTATACCAGAGAAATAAACCCACCAAGAGTTGCCATTCAAGCAGGACGAGGTTCCATATATTATTGACCTTAAACTGCAGTAAATAACTTTATCTTCCATTAGAAATAAAAACTAAAACTGGTGCTTTAAAATAAACTTTACTTGAAAGGAAAAAAAGAACGGAACTCTTTATCCTATCCTTTAACCAGATTTTAACACACACAAGCTCCAGAAAAATACTGTTAATTAGGTTATTGATCCCACCACGTACTCCCCATAACCTTTGACAATTCCCAGGTGCCTTTTCTAAAATGGTGTTATATTTTCAGCTGTAGGATGAACAACGTCTGAAAGCAAGTCACTCTTATTATCTCTCATTTTTAAAAAACAACTTCTGATGCACCATACCATTCCTGAGCACTGTATCTGTGCAGACACTCATCTTACTTAATACTGTTCTATACAGTTTGACTATATCATTTCTATGCATTTAAAAACATTTAAATAGAGTAAATTTTTCTAAAGGAATTCACACACAATCACACACACACACACACACACAATAGAAAAGTAAGAGAGCACATCTGACTTATTCCAACGCTGTATTTGGGCACCAATGACCTTAAATATATTATCTATAAAAAACCATCCTTTTATATGCCTTAGTGTATTACTGTGCTTCAAAATTCAGAATGTATTCCTTTACATAATCTTACTGAGCTGAGTAAGAATATATGTAGATGGGTTGGCAGAGTGCTTCTCTAGCATGCACAAAGGCCTGGGTTCAATCCCTAGCACTTCCTAAAACTGGCATAGTGTTTTGGGCTATTAATACACATTTAGAGGAAGCAACATACCAAGTTCAAGGTCAACATGTACATGTACATAAATATATACATATATATATATATCAACATACATCTTTCCCCTTATTATTCTACCTAGTAATTCCATGTTTGTAGTACAGTGATAATATAATCAACACAGTGTGGCTTTTGTATAAATAAACAAGTATAAATAAATAAATAAATAGATAGATAGATAAATAAATAAATAAATGCAGCAATGGTTTAAAAAAGTAGAGAGGCTGGAAACAGATCATAAACTAAACTGATCTTTAATAAAACTAAAAATGCAACACAATGGAACAAAGGTAGACTTTTCAACACATAGTGCAGAAACAACACAGCATGGAAAAAACCCTAGACACAGACTTAAATGTTTTGAAAAATATTTGTAAAATGCAAAACCCTAAGAATCCAAAAATATAGGAAGAAATCCTTAAGTTAAACACTAATAGTGTAATCAAAGAAAGAATTATCAAATTTAACTTCATTAAAATCACCTTTTTTTTTTTCTCTATGATGGATACTAAAAAGATAATGGTAAGACATGCCACAGAAAGCTGGGAAATTTTTGCAGAAGACAAATCTTATAATAGAAAATTATCTAAAATATGAAACAATGTCTGAAATTCATCAGGAAACCAGGCAACAGAATTAAAAACTGGGCAAAGAGTCTAACAAACACCTCACTGAAAAGAAAAACAAAAGGCAAATAATCAAATGAAAATATGCACATCATACGTCTTCAAAGAAGAGCAAAGCAAAACAATGAAATACCACCACACACTCATTAGAACCAAAAACATTGACAATACCAAATAAGTATGTAAAGCAACCAGAACTCTCCTTCACTGATGGCAACAATAGAAAATAGTACAACTACTTGACAGGTTCTTGCAAATCTACTTTTAAAAATATCCTCAACATTAGGTGTTCTACAGGAACTACAGTCATGGTTCCTCAAACTTGCAAATAACCAAAATGTTATTTATTATATAGTGGACAAACACTCTGTTGTATATCAAGACAATAGAATATTTTCTAGTGCAAAAAAAAAAAAAAAAAAACAATAGGGAGGAAACTTAAAAGCTTATTACCAGTTGAAAGAAGCTAATGTGAAAAGATTACAATTTACATGATTCCCAATATATGACATCCTAGAAAAGATAAACTGTAAATGCAAGTTAAAAAAAATGCAACAATTCCAGGCTTACAGCGAAGATGGGACGAATAAACGAAAAACAGAGGACTTTTCAGGGCTTAAAAAAATGTCCTCAGTATGAGCTAAAGTGACCAGACAAATGTGATAATGCTTTTGTTCAACACCATAGAATGCAGACCATCAAGGGTGAACCTATGGATAAATGTACAAACTTGATTTTGAGTGATAATAATTTGACAACATCAATCATTATAACAAATGTAGCACTCTGTTAAAAGACAGTATTAATAAGGTGAGGGGGTATTAATATAGGCAAGGGGGTAAGTGGCATGGGTAAAATCTGATGTCTTCACAAAGAGTAAAGCGTAACAGTCTTTTTAAACCTAATAAGAACTATTAGGACAAGAGATGGCTCAGCAGTTAAGAATGTGTACTGCTCTTGTAGAGAACCATAATTCAGCCCCCAACACCCACATCAGAAAGCTCACAACTTCTTATTAACTTCAGCTACAGAGAGGTCCTGTGCCTCTGACCTTCCCACAGCACCAAAGCTCATATGCATATACCCCACATACACACATACACATGATCAGAAATAAAAATAAAGTCTATTACTAATCAACTCTAAAAAGCACTGCTTCTAGAGCAGTCATAACAATTCAATGCATAAAGGCACTTATAAATGCAAACTGGAAAATCTGAATTCAATTATTAGAATCCATAATAGGAAAGAATCAACTTCTGAAAGTTGTACTCTAATTTCCAAACTTGTGTCATCATAAACACAATAACATACATACATACATACATACATACATACATACATACATACACACACACACACACACACACACACACACACACACACACATACACACCACTAACAACTAAAACAAAAATACTGACTTTGGAGTCCAGAATTACTGCTAATCTTTGCATAGCTTGAAAAGTCATGTAACTATCCACAGTTTAGGTTTCTTCATATAACAAAAATTAAAGGGAAATAATTGGATTTGAAATCTAACAATTATTGTGATAGCCAGTGCTTAAGTACTCACTATGTATAAGAAACTGTACTAAGTCATTTCCATTTATTAACTCCTTAAATCTTAATAATGACCCTATGAGGTAAGAACTGTTTTTAGGCCATATTTTTCAAGATGAAGAAACAAGAAGATTAAGTAATTGCCTAAGATCACATAATTTAGCAGTAATGGAATTTGAATGTAGCTTGTCTGGTTTAGATCTCTTGGGCTAATTCTTATACTTCAATGTTCCCAAATGCCTTATGATTGCTAAGGCCTCACCGAGCCATAAAACTCTGTATTTACGGGTAAATTCAATACACCAGGCTGTACATACAGCAAGCTAAAATTTCAACACCTGGACTTCTTAATACATCAGGTTTATGGGTATAGCAACTCTAAAATATACTGTCAAGTAATCTTGAATATTGAGTAATGGTGGACCCATGAGTAAATTACCTGCATGAGTGTGAGAACCTAAGCTCTAATCTTCAGAACCCAAGTCAATTTTGTAATACCAGTGTTTCTAAGGTGAGATGAGAGGTGGAGACAGAAAAATCCCTAGAAGCTCATGAGCGCCTATGTACAGCAGCAGTGAGTCATTGCCTAACACAAGATGAAAGACTGGAAGACCAACATCCAAGACTTTCCTCTGGGTGACACACTTTGCAATATGGCATGCACATGCCTACACATACACATCATACATGTACATATACAAATACATCATACACCAAAAAAAATTTTTATACAAGTGGGTTCCCCAGTAAGGGGAAAAGAGACTGTCTCAGACCTGAACTCAGTGACTAGCCCTTTGACCACCTCCCCCTGATGGGGGAACAGCCTTGCCAGGCCACAGAGGAGGACAATGCAGCCAGTTCTGATGAGACCTAATAAGCTCGGGTCAGATGGAAGGGGAGGAGGACCTCCCCTATCTGTGGATTTGGAGAGGGGCATGGCAGGAGATGAGGAAGGGAAGGTGGAATTGGGAGGGAATGAGGAAGGGGGCTACAGCTGGGATACAGAGTAAATAAACTGTAATTAATATAAAAATATAATTAATATAAAAAATGTTATCACTAAGGTGAATTAACTTTTAAACACTAATTTCATAAAGTTTTAAAACTATAAAAAAAGAAAAATATTCTTAGGTGTTAACTATAATGTATCATAGAGATTGTACATTGATATTTGTAATCTGAAATTTTACTTAAAATTAAAATCATACTTCCTTTAATAAAAAAGGTTGTG